AGCCCGGGTCGTGGCTCCTGGTCCGGGCGAACCACTCGCCCGTGGTCTGGCCCCGGAGCAGCAGCAGCACGTGGAAGAGCAGGAACCCGGCGCACAGCAGGAACCCGACCACGCAGGCGTCAGCCGCCACGGCCTGGGCGCAGGACGACAGGCTGCTCTGGCCTGGAGAGAGGCAGCGCTGGGGGACAGGCAGGTAACACCGCGCTGGGGGGTCGGGGGGGTGTCGCGGCTGGAGAGATCGGGCTCCTGGCTGCAAGGCGTGGAGCCTTGGGCACTGGCGACATGGGGCTGAAATGCAGCTGGGGTGCGCTCTGCCAGATGCAGCCCGCTCTGGGGTGTGGCAGGGACTGGGAGTACAAAGCTGGGCACGAGGATGCAGCCAGCTCTGGGGCGGAGGGTGTCAGTGGCTGAGTAGAACAGAGATGTGGCTGCCTCTGGGGTGGGGCCTTGGGCCCTGGGGACATGGGGCTGCAATGCAGCTGGCTCTAGGGTGGGATGTGTTGGCGGCTGAGTAGAACGGATGCAGCCAGCTCTGGGGTGGGGCATGTTTGGGGCTGTTATACAGGGACTTTGGGCCAGGATGCGCCCGGCTCTGGGGGGAGGCAGGGTGAGCTCAGGCTGCGACGTGGAGACTTGGTCCTGGGATGCGATTGGCTCTGGCGTAGAGCACTTCAGTTAGGGGTTGTTATATGGGGATTTGGGGCCACGATGCAGCTGGCTCTGGGGTGAGGCAGGCTGAGCTCAGGCTGCGACGTGGAGACTTGGTCCTCGGATGCGCTTGGCTCTGGTGTATAGCACTTCAGTCAGGGGTTGTTATATGGGGATTTGGGGCCACGATGCAGCTGGCTCTGGGGTGAGGCAGGCTGAGCTCAGGCTGCTGGGATGAGGCTGGCTCTGGGGTGGAGCACACCGGGGTTGTTATATGGGGACTTGAGGCCAGGATGCGGTTGGCTCTGGGGTGAAGCACTCTGGGGGTGGTTATATATGGGGACTTAAGGCTGGAATGCAGCTAGTTCTGGAGTGGAGCACATTGGTGGCTGTTATATGGGAACTTCAGGCCCGGATGCACCCGACTCTGGGGTGGAGCACACCCCGGTTTGTTACATGGGGACTTCAGGCCGGGACGCAGCTGGCTCTGGAGCGGGCGATCGGGTGTCCCGGTGCCCAGGGGACACGGGGCGCAGGGCCTTACCGGAGAGCAGCAGCAGCCAGGGTGCCAGCAGGAGCGCGGCGGCGCGCAGCGGTGGGCCCTGGCGCAGGGCGCCCAGCAGCAGGTCGGCGTGCAGCAGGCTGCAGTAGAGCAGCGCGGCGGCGCCGTGGAGCAGCAGCCCCAGGAAGTAGCGCCGGTTGCGGTGGCCCACGCACTGGCCCAGCAGCGCGCAGTGGTGGTCGCGGCCCAGCACGCACGCGCGGCAGCTGGGGCAGTGCCGGCCGCGCGGGGGCACGGGCGCCTC